GTGAATACCACACTAATTTAATACGATTATTAATACTTCACTATTAATCTTGTGAATCAAACATGACCTTAGAGTACATGTGATTTCAAAATGAGTTAATAATTTTTTTTTTTAGAAAAAGGAAAATTTGAATGCAGTGTGTGTTTTTAGAAATAATTATAGATAAGTTATACATATCAATCTGACTAAATAGTTAGACAATCAATGCCATCTTCTAGTATTGTTGATATCGGGACCATGAGATTTATAGGAATAATCACATTACTTGTTCGACAGTTAAAAATAATTATTTCTTTTATCTCATTCCAAATCAAACGTAATACATAGATTTCAATAGTGTTACTAATCTCATCCATTATCCTATGATCACTAATTTTATTCATAATCTCATAATTTTGTAAATTCGGTTGAATGTCTAAAAATCAATATCGATTATCAAACATGCCTATGGATATATAACGTGATTGAAATTATGTAATCATTTTTATAATATAAAAAAATTGAGTATCCGAATAAATCTTGACTATTTTCGAAACTAAAACTCCCTTTCACACGAGAAATGATTGTATTAGTATAGATACTGTTGAAATACTACCAAATACATCAATTAAACACAATTTTTACACAAGTTCGACCACGTAACATGGGAACGCCAAGCATTATATCTTAGTTAATTTGTAAATATATGTTTTGATGAAAAAAATTTTAAGTGCACAAAATTAAAAAAAACTATTCGATTATATATATGTGGAAGAACTGTTATTTATACCATTAGCTAACATTATTAAAACAGAGAAATAGCATAAACCACATGGAGGTAATAAATGCCAGGGTGGGGCACAATCCTAATTGTCTGCTCAGAGGGTGCCTTGGATTCCTGCTAGAGAAAGAGACTCAAAAGAGGGTGACACATGATGGACTTATTTGGTTTGTTTTTTAAAGAAATTTTTTTAAAATTTTGTTTAGTTTAGTGATTTTAAAAAAAAAATTTAAAATTATTTTTTCTTTCCTATATATCAGTCAATCACTTTTTCTCTCTCACACATATCTACTCAACTATAATAAAATATAAAATCATTCCAAACTCTCATATTCCAAAACTATTTCCAAAATGTACAACCAAACAAATTAAAAAAATTTCACTAATTTTCTCCCTAAATTTTTTTTTTAAAAATTTATCTCTCAAAACAAAACTAAACACACCCGATATTTGGTTAAGAACAGATTCATTATGGCTTTGCTGCTCAATTTTGTCCTGTCTTTTGTATGTTTTATCTTCAATAATGTTATAATATAAAATTAAAACAAAATATATATATAGGTCCAGATTTATTCATAACTGGATTTGATCCCAATTTTTTTATTTTATATATATATTGAATCATTCTATAGTGTATTATGAATGTCTAACTTTACTGTCACTTGATATATTAATGTCATTTGGTCATATCTGATTGCTTGTATCTATGGTAGAGAATACCTCTTCAGAAAGTTAGGTTAGATTTGAGTTAAATTTTGAGTCAGTCGAAGCAACCAACCAAAAAGAAAACTATATTATAAAAAGTAGGACTTTTCTTAAGCGTGCAACTTACGCCTTCCATTTACGCCTTTTCTGTTGCTGTCCTGTTTAATGTTTATATCTTCCATTTACGCTTTTTGTGTTAGTGGCATATGGTGTAACAGGACCCTAAAAAGTAATATATAGAAAGTGACAGATCAGTACACAGAGTTATGTCAGAGCAGTGCTATCATTGAACCCTGTTACGTACAAGCAAGCAACAGTTCATTTTCTCAACCTTTCTCTTTCTCTTTCTCTTTCTCTTTCTCGGTGGAAAATGGGTTTTCTTTGTTGAAAAAATTGAGGAGCTGCAAGGACGCGTGATGCCCATTTGATAATAGAAGAGAAACCATATGATTTTATTTGTTGTTCGTTATACCAATGAATAATGGTATAAAAGTTTAAAATATTAATACGTTACGAATATATAATAATCGATATTTAAAATTTCAGACTAAATTCACTTTTTTAGTGTAGGAATGGCAACGAGACAAAGGCGGGAATAGGTTTATGGTGTTGTTTTTTTTGTTGGGATGAGAAAAATTGAGAAGATGATGAGCAGAGTGAGACAGGGTAATTTTCCATTTTTAGGAGATAATATGCATTTGAAAAATATGAAGTTATTAGTGATAAAAGAAAAATACAAAAATGAGATGTAGAGATGTAATAATTGAAAATATAGAGATATGATTTTGGTTGTTATTTTTAAAGAGACCAGATTTTCAAATTTGGGAAAGAGTCTTCTATTTCCCTATTTCCCTCCCTTGATAGGTGTATTCATAAATGTCATCTATTAGGAACAAAATTGTCAAATCTTAATATTTTGGATACTGTAACAATTAAATCCTGCTAGAGAAAGAGACTCAAAAGAGGGTGACACATGATGGACTTATTTGGTTTGTTTTTTAAAGAAATTTTTTTAAAATTTTGTTTAGTTTAGTGATTTTAAAAAAAAAATTTAAAATTATTTTTTCTTTCCTATATATCAGTCAATCACTTTTTCTCTCTCACACATATCTACTCAACTATAATAAAATATAAAATCATTCCAAACTCTCATATTCCAAAACTATTTCCAAAATGTACAACCAAACAAATTAAAAAAATTTCAAAACTTTCTCCCTAAATTTTTTTTAAAAAAATTTATCTCTCAAAACAAAACTAAACACACCCGATATATATATACATATAAGTGGTATTTGGTTAAGAACAGATTCATTATGGCTTTGCTGCTCAATTTTGTCCTGTCTTTTGTATGTTTTATCTTCAATAATGTTATAATATAAAATTAAAACAAAATATATATATAGGTCCAGATTTATTCATAACTGGATTTGATCCCAATTTTTTTATTATATATATATATATATTGAATCATTCTATAGTGTATTATGAATGTCTAACTTTACTGTCACTTGATATATTAATGTTATTTGGTCATATCTGATTGCTTGTATCTATGGTAGAGAATACCTCTTCAGAAAGTTAGGTTAGATTTGAGTTAAATTTTGAGTCAGTCGAAGCAACCAACCAAAAAAAAAACTATATTATAAAAAGTAATATATAGAAAGTGGCAGATAAGTACACAGAGTTAAGTCAGAGCAGTGCTATCATTGAACCCTGTTACGTACAAGCAAGCAACAGTTCATTTTCTCAACCTTTCTCTTTCTCTTTCTCGGTGGAAAATGGGTTTTCTTTGTTGAAAAATTTGAGGAGCTGCAAGGACGCGTGATGCCCATTTGATAATAGAAGAGAAACCATATGATTTTATTTGTTCTTCGTTATACCAATGAATAATGGTATAAAAGTTTAAAATATTTATACGTTACGAATATATAATAATTGATATTTAAAATTTCAGACTAAATTCACTTTTTTAGTGTAGAAATGGCAACGAGACAAAGACGGGAATAGGTTTATGGTGTTGTTTTTTTTGTTGGGATGAGAAAAATTGAGAAGATGATGAGCAGAGTGAGACAGGGTAATTTTCCATTTTTAGGAGATTATATGCATTTGAAAAATATGAAGTTATTAGTGATAAAAGAAAAATACAAAAATGAGATGTAGAGATGTAAATAATTGAAAATATATCTAATTTATTAGATATAGAGATATGATTTTGGTTGTTATTTTTAAAGAGACCAGATTTTCAAATTTAGGAAAGAGTCTTCTATTTCCCTCCGTTGATAGGTGTATTCATAAATGTTATCTATTAGGAACAAAATTGTCAAATTTTAATATTTTGGATACTGTAACAATTTAAAAATTACTTTTTTGACGTGTCATTTTGACAATTCAATGACACTTCAATATTGAAAATGGTCTTAATGCAAATGCCACAGAGCACTATATGATAATTTTGGAAATCATATGGAATGAACAATTCTTTGTTTTCGTTCATGTGGCCCAATGAAAAAGGTCCTACCATTACTCATAGAAAGCCCACCAAAACTAATGCGTCTAGTCCACTATATGAATCATTTGCTAAATCATGTGACCATTTTTTTAATTTTTAAGTCAAAAACTGTATATGCACTCTGCTCATTCCTAGTTAAAGCTACCTAGCTTTGATCCCAATCAATGTTCACTCAAAATCCTAACACCCTTTGGGTTATTATATTTATCATTCCTCCTCATTAATTAGTTCTAAATTCTTTTTTGTTCAAGTTAACATGTTTAACTGTTTTTATATTGGCTAAACAATCTATTTAGTAGCGCGGTATTACAGTCTGATATATATTAATATTATTATTTTTTACAATTTATTCTATGTCTTTAAAAGTATTGATAATTTTTACTATACAATCTATTTTTTACTTCTTGTTTAATATTTAGGTATTTATCAAAAAAATAATAATATATATTTAGGTAAAATTTCTGGATAAGTAAAATGAAAAACTAAATTAAATCATTGATAGTTTTCCCTATACTTTCATGAAAAACAATATCCAAAGAAAGCAAGTACTCACATAAAGATGAAGCATGTTGATGATGGCCATTGGCATTAGAATACCCATAATTGTCTTTGAATCCAGTCCATTTGCAGAGTCAACATGATAACTTCATAGCAGAAAAAGCATTGTGAGCATTCCTTTTTAAAAAAAAAACCATCATGAGCAATAATAATACATGGTTAGGAGAATCTATTTCAAAAATATGTTCAGAGCCTATATGAAGTAAAAATTTGAGCTGTTAGCACCAAAAATTGGATGCTGCTTAGCTACATGCATTCATGGATGGTATGTTTTAGCCCTGCAAGAAACAAATCCGAGAAAATAACGGCCTAATGAACATACCTCATTTTCTTAATCACAATTCACAAATACTATATTCTTCAGATTTGAAGATAATTCCAAGTCAAAACAGTAAAAATAAAGCAGAGCCAATAATTAAACAAGTAAAACCTCGGAACATAATTTATCTTGATCATCTTTCCAAAATGTACTCTACAAAAACTAGATAACTTCATTAATCAGGTAAAAATCATTAAGCACATTCCTACAATGTATGAAAGTTTAAATGGGAGATCATGCTCCTGCCACCTGGCAGCTATTCCTAAATACAGTAACTCTGAAACAAAATTTCTCGCTCCATTAAACACAATGAAAAATTAAATTACAAAGCAAGAAAAAAAAATGATGGCTGGGATATAACAATATTAAAACAACAAAGCCCTGCTCTAAAGCAACTTTGTAGATTACAAACTGAATTTGATAGTTGTGTAGTCAGTCGTAAGAGGATGTGTTGAATGTAATCAGTAGAAGTTATGGGACTCTTCCAGAACATGGAGCCAAAAATGTTAATCGTCAGATAATAGAGTCGGACTTTTTGAGCAGCTCTCTTTCTGATGTAGTTCCAATAACCTTTTCTCTGGGTCACATAGCCCTAGAAGATGAGAGCGATGCCAAAGTGTTATAGACATTCGTGAACATAATAATGCAACCCAAACTAAGCAAATATCAGGCAATAACAAAATGGAAATGTCATTAAAATGATACCATTCAGTTGTATTTCAAACAACTGTTGAACAAATAAAGCCATTGTAGTTTTCATAGCATCTGAATTGAATGTATAGCAAATCTATTTTTTGTGGGCAAGTATGTTAGATAGCTTGATATGCATTGTTGGGTCTATTTCCTAATTGCTTAGGCTTTTGAAAAAATTGGTAACTTAATATGGTATCAAAGCTCTGGTAGAGAAGGATCTTGGGTTCAAGTCTCTCTGTTAGCATTTGGGATAATGTCCCTATTTGGTTTCTTTCTCTTTGTTTAGTTGTTTACTTCTTCTATTTGGTTCTTTGTTTGTGCCTCCACGTGCAAGAAGGTGTTGCACATGAGGGAGGATGTTAGATAGCTTGACATGCATTGTTGGGCCTATTTCCTAATAGCTTAGGCTTTTGCGAAAATTGGTAACTCAACAAAGTATAGATGTATGTAACTTCTATGCATAAGAAGAACATTCTTTAAAATTAATTTCTTTGCACAAATAGCTTTTGTTTCAATATGACATCCATTCAAAAGGAAAACAACCACAAAACCAAATTAAATGCCAAAAATAAAAAATTTAAAAAAATCTAAATTACATATTAAGGACAATGCCGCAACATAACAAAACAGTTTCATTAATACAGAATGTCTATCCCTCATGCCACATCAACTTTTTATCCTTTCTAAATTCTTTTGAATCAATCAGTGGGTTTTAAGGGGCCTTGTTAAAATTCTTGATAAATTCTTTCCTTTATTTTTCCTCTTTCTCCAAGGTGGGATTTTATTAGATTTCAGCATATGGAGGCAGTTTCTAAGAGAACATGCAACCAAACCATGAGAATAATTAGTTAATTACCAACCTGAACACTTTGGAATATCCCAAACAGCAATAGATGATGGAGTACATTCTGGTTCACAAAGTTGTCGGTTGTCCTCATGGTTGACATTCATTGCAAGCATCCATGCACCAATCGTAACATCTTCATTGCTAAACATACGGAAACTGTAAATGCAAGCAAATCTGAACACATTATATAAAAAATATGGACTCCAAAAGGAGTATCAGTGAAACGTTTTAACCTTTAATATCTATCTTGACACATACGATACTGTCATTTTTTACCTATTTCTTATATGAGGTCATAGTAATTTTTGCTTGGGTAAGAATCAATAAATACTACAGAAGTTTAGATTTAAGTACTTTCACTTCTTAATTATTTTCCTTTTCTCTAGGTCAGGAGATAGGATTCAGATGTGAACAGTAAAATCTCAGGCTATCAACAGTGAATATGCAAGTTTGAGGGTAGTAATATATCTTCTAAAGATGTTTAAGATTAAAATTACACTATGAATTATCTATTGCTATTTTATTAAATTAAATATTACATGTATGAGGTCAGTTATACTTTTTAAAATATTTTAGGTTTTAAAAAAAAAGATTCTAAATAATTATTTCTTATTATTTGTTCACTGTTACTTAGAAAAGTATGTATACTTATTGTCCAAATATCAATATTATTATTAATTATTGTTACTTTAGAAATTGATAGTTTGTCTATTTGGTTATTATTTTTATTAAGAATGGTTGATAAGAAATATCTTAAAAAAAAAAAAAAAAAGATAAGATGGTGATCTTCCATAAGAACGTTTCTTACTTATTAAACTAAGTAATTATCATTCAAAATAACATTTTTATTTATTTAAGTCTAAATATTTTATATTCATAAGATATATTTAACATCTAAATGTGTAAATATATGTTTTTAAATAATTTAGAAGAAGTGACCGAATCTTTACGATTCACGATTCGATTCGATTCGCGATTCGGTACGAGACCATTTCGATTCACGATACGAATCCCGATTTGACAACTATGGTCAGAAATGACGCAAATATTCAGTAATCTCTTCTAGCAACAGAGTATTCATCCTCTATAGTCTATACAAATACTTAAAATAGGAATATTGGGAGCATTTGCAAGAGAGACAAGAATGTATAACATTAGCCCCGCAAGTACTTAAAATAGGAACAATGGGTGCATTCACAAGGGGAAACTCTATTACAATATTTCATTGAGGCAAACCAAACACAACACTGTCAACAAATCTTAAATGAAATCCAGTTAAATAATCCATGAAATCCAGCTTACAAATAAATTCTATAAATGGATACCAGATAAAGAAACAAATAATTATAATAACCACCACAACAACTACAACAATAACAATAAAGAAAGTGAGCTTGCCTATTGTTTCTTAGAGCAACCAAACTTGCAACAACATCAGCAGAAAGAGCATATATTGGACCATAAGCATGGAGGAAGTACTCGCTCCCAAGCAAATAAGATAGTGGCTCAAACCTGCACAGATTTAACTGATCTGGTCACCTTGAAATAATAATCATAAAGTTAGAATGTAGCACTAATTACTGATCATCACTAGTACTCTTCCCACAGACTACTGTGATGCTGCTGAGAAGAGCTCCAAATCCAACTTCTACAAAGATTGTAGTTCAGAATAAATTTTCAAACACTCCTGAAAAAGATTGCAAAAAATCTTCCTCAATTCAGATTGCGGAAAATAAGCCCTGGGATTGACAGGGGGACTAATGACGGACAATCTCTATACTTCAAAGCAGAAGCTGTAGATCTCAATCTCTTGTGAGGAACTTGCAAAATGTATTTTAGTTTTCATAAAGCTAGAATAATGAAAGGATACTAGGCTAGACCATGTACAGGGCAAAGTATCTTCACAAAAATTTATTTCCTGTCTTCTGCATATTTCTTTCCTGAACTATTGTATGCTTCTTTCAACCATGTAGCAAACAATTGTGTCATTGTGGTCACAGAATTAAATATTTTCCATAAATTTTAATTCTCAAAACTTAAATTATGAGGCCTTGTCAATTACACAAGAACGTACAACACACAATTAACACGTAGAGATGGAACCATATTAGCTGTTCAAGTTGAATTACTTTTCTCTTCTGCAACCTCTCTATAACATGTCGTGTATTATGTCTTGAGTATATTATATACACTAATATAAAGGAAAGCAGATACTCAAAAAGGAAAATCAGTTTTAAAATTGGCAGTCACTAAACTAAGCTATGAGATTATCCATATTTTGCTTCGACAACAACAGCAAAGTGAATAAATTTTTGGAAGTAGATCTAAGGAATGGCAAAATGAAAATTCTCAGATATCACAAACTATATAATACATATAGTCAAACATCATAGGACTAACCATTTGAGCCTAGGGTCAGTAAAAACTGGACCCTTTTTCAAGCATCCAAGGTAAGTTTGAGAGTGTGGACGTTCTTTTGCCAAAAGAAGTGAAAGGCGATCTGGCAGTTAATGAAAGAAGATTGTAAGTGGTTGCATAAGGAAAAACCATGAAAATCTAGAGAGCAATGTAAGTGAGAGTATGGAGCATTGATAAATGTCGTAAAATTAGTTACCTGGCCTCAAGTATATATCATCATCAGCTTTAACATAAAACTCAGAATCAAAAAGTGCGTTGGCAGCTTTGAAGAAAGCCAACCTGTAGGTACAGAGGTTACTGAGATTCTAGAAATAACAGACCAGAGGCACTGAACAATGATAGATAGATAATGTCAGCACTAACGTTTTGTATGGGAGCTTACTGTACTCCTCCTCAATATCTAACAGAATGAAGTCGTCATACTCTGCCACCTCCCTTCTGAGCTGTGACATTTTTGATTGATCATTGGTTCTACCAATAACAAATCTGAAAGCCAAGCCAGTTGCTTCTTCCAAGCTGTGAGCCATCATTTTATTTCCAACAGAGTGATTAGCACAAAAGCACTCACCCACATGAAGAAAAAATGATAGTAGAATCAGGACAAAACCACAACAGTCATCAAGAACTAATAGAAACCATTACATTAGCAACACAAATAGATTGTAATAAACTGCCGATCAAAAAAAAAAAAACAGATTGTAATAAACAATTGTAATTGACAGATGCCAGTTTAAGTTATTGCATGCATTTATTGCACCATGTACATAGTTCTTCAATTTCCAACGATTATGACTAACCAAGCAACTAGTTATTCTACTCATTTCCTTTAAATGTAGGACCTGACTGTAATTTGGAATCCCATATTCAGGAATATTGGCTTGGGGCCAGCTCTAGGAACTCCCAAGGAGCAAGATGCAAAACTGGCCATTTTCAGAAACTTATTAGTCTTTGTATCTACAGTGTCTAGATAATTAAGTATGCAATATATATATATATACATGTGCACAAATTCACATATTTACACATAACCAACTATGATTGAGCCTTCATTTGGGATGTGGGTTGGCTTTTTGGCTTTTTAGCTTTTTGGCTATTTTAACCTGGGGCTAAAAGGTCTCATTTGGAATAGGCTTTTTGGCTTTTTTGAATTTTGTAAGAGAAAAAATGAAATAATTATGATTTGGATGTGATGTTTTATCTTATTAGGCTAAAAAGCCTATTTATCTTTTTGTAACTATTTTAGCCCAAACTCTCTATGCCAAACAAAGACTGAATAAAAGATTTTCCATTACGACAACAAGGCAACTTCAACCATGGTGATTGTGATCTTGTGTTTTCATAAGAATGATCCCTGATTAAAGTCCTATTACATTCATAATTTTGTAAGGCAACTAACCACTTTGCAGTCAATTTTTTTTTTTTTGATAAATACTTTGCAGTCAACTCACAAACTCAGGATTCAAGGCTATGAAGCTTCCCTCAATTACAGTCTTCATTTTCACTTACCCAGTGGCAAGCGCACAACTATTATGTAAGAAATTATCTTCTATTAGTAATGTACCAAAATTAAATTTTTTTTTATATATATACCTTAACGATACTTATTCATGTCTTCTCCACCTTGTTCACAAAATGGACACACTAACACTCCAAATCCTTCTAAAATGAGGCACAAACAACCCGAGGATAATTTGATAAAAATAATTCTACAATTTTTATCTTGTCATCACAGCAACACAACATGGTTCGAAACGAAAAGCACAGCAACATTTTTCAATATCCCACTAACCCATGCATCATATTGCCAGACACCACAAATACAAATACAAAAAATACATAACTGAAGAAAGATTTTACCGCTGAAGTCCTTGCTGATCGGATGGCATCCAAGTCTGCCGCAGGGATCGCCGCCGTCCAACCGATGCAAACCCAGTTTGAATTCCAACGAAACCCATAACCTTGTGCCTTTTCTGATCCTCATCGGGAACCCCACCACCATTCCCAATTCCACCGCCACTTCTATCCCAAACTACCGACACCGATCTAGACTTACCACTTCTACATTTATACCCCAAATTTTGTCCCGAAATAGCGACGAAACCGAAGATAAAACCAGTGAATCCGATCAGGAAACAGAGGATCAGTACCGTTGATCTCCGAGTGTACGACGAAGGGCGAGCGTAGAAGGATTTGGGAGACGAAGTCATGTCGAGGTGAGACTAATTAGTATCCAGAAAAAACCCTAGAAGGATGGGGGTTTTTTGGTACGGAGGTCTCAAATTGCTTTGGCGATTGTGGTGGAAAGCATTCATGGCAGATTTAGAGAGGAACAATCGATGCTCAAAAGTTCACTGCGAGAGAGAAAATGATCACAGAGTGGCTTCTGGTGGTTATTTTTGTTAACTGTCTTTTTAACTTATTTTATTTCTTCATTGATGTTTTTATATTTTCTATAAAAAAATAAAAAATAATAAAGACTTTTAGAAATAAAAATTTTGGCTGTGTGTAGTGCAGTTTTGAAAACTTAATTCTATTTTTCCATTTGCATGCATTATTTGGTTGGAATTTTAGAATTGTGATTCCATCCCACATTTCAAAACATATTTTTTTTTCATATTCTTTTTCGTGTTTTTCATTCTGAAAAGTAGAGAATTTTTAAATTTTGAGTCTACCATGTCATCCTCTCATACGTCCAGTTGTTCGTTTAGCCGGTTGACTGGAATAGTGTTCGTATTTTTTGTTTTTTGTTTGACACCTGTTATTTTTATATTTTAAATAAAAAATATTTTGGAATTTTGGATTTTTTTTTATAAGCTTTGAATAAAATTTTGGATTGTGTGCTTGTTTATGAGTTATAAATTTTTGAATCAAATATAATATGTCACATCACTCAATTCAAACTCTTTTCAAAACTCATAACCAAACAAATTTTTCACATTCAAATTATAATTTTAAAACTGACAAACTCAAAATACAACTCTATTATCAAATAATAATTCTGAAGCTCTACCAAAACTTTAATTTCCATTTTTTCTATTTAGAATTTAATAAACCATGTAAACTTATAATTTATTCAACAAATCACTGGTTTTGGGAACTTAGGATTTAGCTTATGTTTAGATTTTGAATTTATTGAGAGAATTTTTTTTTTTACAAGTTATGTATAAATTCATTTTATATCCTTTTGTTTTTTCTTCTCTTTTTATTACACAAATTCTTAATTTAAACATAATTTTAATGTTGCAAAAATTCAATTTTAAACAGTTTTTGTTAGGATGCTCCTAATTGGTCATGTAGTCAAGAATTTATGAGAATCAAAATCTTAATCACTTTTTTTTTTTTTTTTTTTTAATAGAAATGTACTTAAAATTAAACTTAATTTTCTATCAAATCTTCTAATATATTATTGTGAATGTTAAGAATCTTATTATTAAAGTTTTAAACATTTGTTAAATATGATGTTTGATAACACAGCCCTGCTTTGGCATGAGGATTTTTGGGATTAAAAAGATTATTTTAGTAAAAATAAAATAAAATAAAATAGACTAAAAAATTAATAAAATAAAATATTACATTCAAATTATAATCATTATATTTTTTCTTTCACAAAAATTAAAAAAATTTATTACAAACGAAACTTTTTAATTCAAATTAAAATAATTAAAAAATAAAAAACCATCCCACATCCCAAAAAAATCACAAATTTGGAGCGATAATAGGAGTCCTCTTTGCCATAGTTGACTTTAAGAGATAACATTGTCAATAGTTACCTTCAAGAGATAACATTGTCAATTGTGATGTGACTATACACAAATAAAATCATATTTTTGCCTTGAAATTCTGTCCCTCTGTCCACCCGCACCATGCAATATGAGATTATAAAAAAATCTTAAAATATAGTTGTTTTATTGAATATAGATTAGAATGTAGTAAGAATAGAAAATTTTTAAGATGGAAGATCTGGTGCTGCCTCCCTTTCTTTCACTTGAAGATGAATAAGAATTGGATAAGTAACATGGAGTCCGAATCCTCTCCTTGAGAAAGGTTCTTGAGTTCCTGCGGGCAACGGCTCAGATGAGCCGTTGGTCATCCAACGGCTGATATTATAAAAAATAAAATAAAATAAAAAAAAATGTTGTGTTTTTGACTTCCCGCCCAAACAAAACAACAACACAGCTCAGATGAGGGATTCACTTTCACTCTCACACACCACTCTCTCTCTCACGCAGCACTCGCCTCCGTCGAACCCATCCTCATCCTCACCGGCGAACCCATCCTCACCGACGACGAACTCCATCCTCACCGACGGCGAACTCCACCGCTCCAGCCTCTACAGAGCACTCTTCTGCCGCCAAAGCTTTCGACTGAAGCTCTTTACAAATTACAGTCGACAGTAAGGTAAGAAATCGAATACGAGTTTTCATTAATTGGTGTGTTTTACCTCTTTATGATTTCTTTAACTTTTCTCTAAGGTTCTACTATTTGGTTAACACACTGTAAATTACTGGTTGCTCATGAGACTGCCAGTTAATATAACACACTGTAATTTGTAAAGAGCTTAAAATTGATAGACTGGTTTATGTAAACTGCTATTTCTAAGGTTATGATAGATCAGTTTATGAAAATTACTGGAACCTTACATAAACTCGTATTGATAGACCATGAACCTTAAAATTCATAGACTGGTCTATCAATTTCAGAACATGAACCTTAAAATTGATAGGCCAGTTTATGAAAATTACTGGAACCTTACATAAACTGCTATTTCTTTAACCTTAAAATTACTGGTTTTTGACCCATGAGACTGCCAGTTAATAGAATACACTGTAAATTGGATAGAACAGGGTAATGTTATGGGCCTTTTGTAGACATGGCAGTCTCATGGGTCATGTAATTATTAACTGGTGTCTAGATATGTTATATTGAATCTCATGAATAATTTTTGACCCATGAGACTGCCAGTTATGAATAACTGAATTGCTTGTGTTATTAACTGCTATTTCTATCCATATTACAGTAATTTTCCTTAATTCCAGTAATTTTCCTTATATGACATATGGTCCTATCTATAAACCAGATAAACTAGATAAATTTCCTTAATTCCTTATGAATAATTCCTTATGAATAAACCAGATAAATAAACCAGATAATTCCTTATGAATAAACCAGATAAGCCAATTATGAATAATTCAATTTCCTTAATTCGAGTAATTTTCCTTATATGACAAATGGTCCTATCTATAAACCAGATAAATGTTATCTATAAACCAATTTCAATTCATTTTCATAGCACTACAACCTAAGCAACCCTGCAATCTTATTAAGAAGCTCAACTATCATTAACTTAAGATTTTATTTTTATGGGTTTTCAGTTGCATTTTGATATCGATATGGAACCTGAGAATGACTGTGATTGGAAGCCAAAATTGGGAATGATATTTGATTCTGAACAATGTGCGTATGAATTTTATAATACATATGGAGGAAGAATGGGGTTTAGCATAAGAAGAGATTATTGTAAGAAGGACAAGTTCACTAATCAACTTATTCATAGACTTTTGGTTTGCAACAAGGAGGGATTTCGAAAGGTTGACAAGCGAGACCCATTGTCAAAAAACTCTAGAGCTGAAACTAGGAGTGGGTGTGAGGCTCGACTTTATATTAATTACATGAGGGTACTGGAAAGTATGTTGTGACTGATTTCAAAGAAAAACACAACCATGATCTTGTATCACCCGAGTGTGCCCACATGTTGCCGTCACAAAGAAAGATATCCGCTACCCAAGCAATTTAGTTAGATTTAGCGGCACAATCTGGTCTTCGTTTGGGCCAGTCTTTTGAACTCATGGGTAGAGAAGCTGGTGGAAGGCAATGTCTTGGTTTTACGAAATTAGATTCTAAAAATTATTTGAGAACCAAAAGACAATAAAGTTTAGCATATGGGGAAGTAGGCAATGTGTTGCAATACTTTAAAGAAAAATATTTGCAGAATCTTTCATTCTTCTATGCTGTTCAATTAGATAATGAGGAGCAAATAACCAATATGTTTTGGGCCGATGCACAAATGATCATGGATTATGCCCAATTTGGTGATGTTGTCACATTTGATACGACTTACAAGTTAAACAAAGAACATAGACCGTTCGAATCTTTTGTGGGATTCAACCATCACAGGGAAACAGTTATATTTGGTGCAGCATTGTTGTATGATGAGACCGCCGAATCGTTTGTATGGTTGTTTGAAAAATTTCTAGAGGCTATGTCAAGGAAGGCACCGAAAACTTTGTTCACCGATCAAGATGCTGCAATGGCTAAAGCCATACCCATCGTTATGCCTGACACAAGTCACCGATTGTGTACTTGGCATTTGATGCAAAATGCATTAAAACATGTTAACTGTTTGTTCCAAGATAAGGGGGTGAAGGGTGTACTAAATAAATTCTTCTTTCACATTGAAGATACAAATCAATGGAAATTAGAGTGGGCGGAAATGCTTGATAAATATGATGCGCATGAAAACCATTGGTTGAAATTGACTTTTGCGGTGAAAGAAAAATGGGGATGGCCTTATGTTAGATCAACATGGGCTGCGGGAATGAGTACCACACAACTTAGTGAATCTTTTAATGCTTTTTTGAAGGATTACATTCGTTCTGATTTCAACTTAAATGAATTCTTCATGCATTTCGAAAGGGTACTTTACGAGAAGCGATACAAGGAGTTAGAAGCGGGCTATGCTTTGTGCCAAAGGTTGACAAAGGTGAAAGCAACAATAAGAATGTTAATTCAAATGGGTAACGTCTACACAAAAAAGATCTTTGAGGAATTTCAAAATGAGTACTTTAAATCCATTGAATCGAACATAGAAGCAATTGAATATGGCGAGGCTAGTACCATTTACACAGTTGTTGATGTTGGTAACAAACATGCAAGGAAAGTGAAGTTGGAGAGGGATGGCTCTTTGGGTTGTAATTGTACAAAGTTTGAAAGGGAAGGAATATTGTGTTCTCACTCATTGAAGGTCATTAGAGACATATTGAAGATGAAAGAGGTTCCTTCACAATACATTCTGAAGAGGTGGACCAAACAAGCAAGAGCTGAAACTGTGCAGCACATTAAGGAAAATGATATTCAAGTAGATGTGAAATTCCAACAAGCTTCGCGGTATAAGACATTGATGACTGCATTTAGAGCAGTAGCAAGTAGAGCTGCTGAAACTGAAGAAACATATGATTTTTGTATTGCATACCTTGCTACATTAGGTGCAGATGTTGAAGGCAAAGTGCTTATTTTGGTGTTGGAAATGAAGTACGTAATGATGATGATACCCAAAGCTTTGAAGTAGAATGCGAAGATGTGAATCATGCTGTGCAACCAAAAGGATCGAAGAAAAAGGTGGCAACTAGTAAGGGCAAAAGGAGGGTCAAAGGTGGATTCGAAGCGGCGTTGGTAGCGAACTTCAAAAAAAATCCGTGCTAATAGCTTGGCTTCGTCACAATCTATTGCAAGTTCAACGGTTGCACCTTCTCCATTATCTGTTGGAGGAGATATATATGTTCGTGAACATGTTCCTCCGCTTCAACCTCTTCCTCCCCTTCATCCTCTTCCTCGATCTTTGCCCATGGGTGGTAATTACATTCCTCCGCCATTGGTGTATCCCACATATCATGTAAGTCTTACTTTAACATTGTATTTTTTGTGTGGATATAATATGTGACTAAAACCATAACTGAAAGCATATATGACATTCTTGTAGGCGAACAATTTGCGGGAGATGTATGTGGTGCCAAATTATTTGCCAACTCAACCAACATTCCAGTCACTACTACAAGGTTCATGTGGATATGACATTGGGTTTCGATATTCTCAAGAATCAACTACTCCAATGTGTAGTGAGGTTCGTCCTTGATGTATTTTTAGTTTATAGTGGCTGAAAATTCTGTGATATCATGTATTTATAGTTGCTTAAAAATTCTGTCTTTTTTTTTTTAGGCTATGGACAACCATCAACAGAACCAAACTGATGCTGAAATTGGGCTGCAACGTGAAGACATGGCCTCTGAAATTGTAAAGCAAACTGTTGCTAGAAAGTGATGTTAAAGTACCAATGTGTCAATTTTTAAGGACCAATGTATTAATTTAGATGTTAAAGTTGTACTGGTTGATGTTCAGTTACAGTTGATTTTAATTTATATGTTAAACCCAACTGAACTGATTCTGTTATTGTTAATATCCTTTTTTAATTTATGTGTTGGTTGGTTGATGTTGATGTTGATGTTGATGTTGAATATGTTATTGAATTGGTTCTGTGTTCGTGTTCTGTGTTGAACATGTTATTGAACTGGTTCTATGTTCATGTTCATTTAAAACTATTTCTATGTTGAACATGTTATTGAACATGTTCATTTAAAACTGGTTCATGTTATTGATAAGTCATGCTGTGTTGAACACTGCTTCTGAAACTGGTTCTGAAATTGATCTGATGTTGAAACTGGATCTGCAATGGATCTGAAATTGTGATGTTCTGAAATGGATCTGCATGTTCTGAAATTGGTTCTGATGTTCTGAAACTGGTATGCTTCAGATCTACATTTATTTGACAGTAGCATCCTTTTCATTATCACAGTCCATAAAAGCATCCTTTAGATTGACCTTTGGTTTTTGTAGCAACATGCTTAGCAACATCACAGTCCAATGCTTCAAGGAGGAGAAGGGTATCCTGATCTGTCCACATGAATCATAATCTGCCTGTGCAACAAGAACAGAATCTGCCTGTGCAACATAACATTCCATAACATTCCATCATTCATCATCACAAAATCTGCTGGTTATCATGTATTATAGTTACATAACATAACATTCCATCATTCATTCCAAAATTCCATCAGAATCTACCTGTGCAACATAACATTCCATAACATTCCATCATTCATCATCACAGAATCTGCTAGTTATCATGTATTATAGTTACATAACACAACATTCCATCATTCATTCCAACATTCCAAAATTCCATCATTCATTCCATAACAGATAAGAAGTTTAATGTTCCCAAAAATTCATTCCATAACAGATAATAGATAACAAGTCAGAGTACATAAAATCCAAAAGGATACAAACTTCCATTAAGTTTCCCAAAAATACAATAAAGTCGAAAAGTTACATCATAAAGTACAAAATGATACAAAATACAATGAAGTACACCATCTTTTTCATATTATTTTCCATCCTTTGCAGCCTTCGACCATAGTCATTTTCCATGTCATGAAGCCTCATCCTTACATCGTTCAAGTCTTCTATTGTTATACCAGCAGCAGCTGTACTGTTGGAACGGATTCTGGATGTAACGTCTTCATCATCTTCAGACACGAACTTGAAGTAATTGCAATGATGAGTGGGAGGGTTACTCTGCAATGCATGCGAATACATTAGTTCAATAAGACAAATATTAATGTGTCTAATAAAGGAAGAAAATAGCTAGAATTACCAACTTACATATTTCAATGGGCAAACAAAGTACAAACGCCCTTCATTTCCGTTCTCGTTGGTTCTTACAATATGTATAGCAGCTGTTCTTCCACAATTGCACAGCCTCGGTACCAATCTCATGTCGCTAATGTTAGAAGAAGAAGCCATTTTTTAAATCTGCATACATGACAAGAAGGCTAATGAGAGTTGGTGCTAATGGAAGTTGGTGCTAATGGAAGTTGGTGCTAATGGAAGTTGGTGCTAATGGAAGTTGGTGCTAATGGAAGTTGGTGCTAATGGAAGTTGGTGCTAATGGAAGTTGGTGCTAATGGAAGTTGGTGCTAATGGAAGTTGGTGCTAATGGAAGTTGGTGCTAATGGAAGTTGGTGCTAATGGAAGTTGGTGCTAATGGAAGTTGGTGCTAATGGAAGTTGGTGCTAATGGAAGTTGGTGCTAATGGAAGTTGGTGCTAATGGAAGTTGGTGCTAATGGAAGTTGGTGCTAATCTATGTAACACAGATAAAATGTTCTTGTTTTATCAGTACTAGTTGGATGATACATAATTTTGAAATATAGTATACTCCATCAGATTTTGAGCTGATTTTTGAAATAAAGTTGTCTTCTACTAGTTTCTTACAATTTTCCCTTTTTTTTTTTTTTTTTTCCCCTGCTTTCTGCCTACTTTGTAGGTATGCATTTGTAAAAATGTATGGGTCAGAAAATTCTCTAGATCACAAAAGAAACAGCAAATCGCATTAGTCCTACACAGTAATTGCAAGGAAAGACTTTTAAATTCAAACTCAGAACAACTAAATTTTCAACAACAACAAAGAATCAGATTCATATTACGTTTAAATTATCTGGGTTGGTTACATCAGAACTGTGGGTTGGTTACATTCATATTACATAACATCAGAACTGTGGGTTCATCTTTACCCTCATCATCTCCAAAAAAATATTACCAAATCATCCTCAAATTGAAAAAAAATTCAAACGTTAAAAGCCCTAAATTTTTAGCCGTTCGAATAGAAATTCGAATCCCTAATTCCTAATTCTGAAATCCCTACTTCTGAAATTCCTAATTTTTCTAAAAGCCCTAATCCCTAATTTTTCAAAAACCAAAATTCCTAATTTTTCAAAACCCAAATCCCTAATTTTTTTAAAAAGCCCTAATTTTGAAATTATAAAATCCCTAATTCTGAAAGCCCTAACTTGTCCATATTAATTCCAAACCCAAATCTCAATCTCAATCTCAGACGTTGGAAGACAAAAGATCTTTGTTCGAAGACTAACCTGGTTCGTGAAGAAGAGATCTTTGCTCAACCGATGGTGAGTTCACGAAGCGTAGAGGCTAGAGCGGTGGAGTTCGCCGTCGGTGAGGATGAAGTTCGCCGTCAGTGAGGATGGGTTCGCCGGTGAGGATGAGGATGGGTTCGACGGAGGCGAGTGCTGCGTGAGAGTGAGAGTGGTGTGTGAGAGTGAAAGTGAATCCCTCATCTGAGCTGTGTTGTTGTTTTGTTTGGATGGGAAGTCGAAAACACAACATTTTTGATTTTTTTTTTATTTTATAATATCAGCCGTTGGATGACCAACGGCTCATCTGAGCCGTTACCCGCAGGAACTCAAGGACCTTCCTCAAGGAGAGGATCCGAACTTAAGTAACATGGACTCTTTGGTACAATTTATAGAGCTTCTTATAACTCTTTTTATTTTCAAAATCTGCTTCAAATTATCTAATACAACATGTCCTTACAATTTATGAGACAAAAATAACTTAAATAAGTTTTAAATAACAAACAAGATAAAAGATAATTTTAACTTCTTCTTTCTAATTATCAACTTTAAATTTGCTAAAAGTTACATCAAACACATTGAATCACACTAGCTATTAGCTCATGCTTTTGCCTTCCAACCCTCTTTTATACCTACTCAAATATTTTTGCAGAGCATATGGCATGTCATGTACTTTGCCCCCAAACAATTTGAACTGCCTTTTCCAGACCACAAATATGGAGAGCACCATTTTTTTTTTTGCACAAAATATATAATTTCATTTCTAACTATCTTGCAACATACAGGCTTTCTGCAACTGTTCGTCGGAAGAAAGTTTTTCTTTCATCATACATAACCCCAGATTCTACATGAGGAACCATTTCTAGTTGAGATCCTCCTACGGTTGAAGCTGGTTATTCGCAGCACAGCTTTGAAAAATTTTCATGCAAAGTTGCATCTTCATCTCTGAGTACTTGCATGTTGTTGCCATCACCGTCAGTATGTCCGGTTTCCATTTGAGCGGCAACTTCTTTTGGTGAAGAGCTTCCATCCAATTGTCTTGTAAGATCATCAATGCGCCCTCCTTCGGAGCAAGCACCTACTTCAGTTGGATTATCTATGCTTGACCATGATGCATGACCTGAATCTGTTTTACCCAAGAAATTTTAACTTCAGTTCCCCAGAAAATGGAAAAAAACGTGGTATAGTGGTGGTGAAGGTGATCATGGTAACTGTGGTGATGGTGGTGGTGGGGTGCAGTGGTTTTATAGGATGTCTTGTTAAGTCTAGAAAACGTTTTCACTTTTTTAAAGTGGAAAACGTTTTTCCACCAAAATTAGCTTATTTTTCGTTGGCATTCATTTTCCGTCCCACCAAATGCTTGAAAATAAAACTAAAAAAATTAGGAAAACATTTTTCTACCAAAACAAACGAAGTACAAGAACGGGGAAGAAAATGCCCACCTCTAGGTTGACCTCTTGATTGGATTTCAAAAAGGGGCTTCTTAAACCATGTTGTTCCGTCCCGCGAAATACTATCAATTTCATAGTATTCCCTTCTTCCTCTCATAATCTTCCAAGGGTTGGAAGCCAAAACTCAGTCCAT